GATGATGATGATGATGACGATGATGACGATGATGACGATGATGATGATGATGACGACAATGATGACGATGACGATGATGATGATGACGACGACGATGACGACGATGATGACGATGACGATGATGATGACGATGATGACGACGACGATGACGATGATGACGACGATGATGACGATGATGATGACGATGACGATGATGACAATGATGACGATGGTGACGACGATGATGATGATGATGACGACGACGATGACGATGATGACGACGACGATGACGATGACAATGATGATGATGATGCTGATGATGTCAGGCACCCTGTGGCAGATTTCTCAACTAGGATCTGGGAAAAAAACAAGCTTGTTTGACCTGTCTGATTTAATGGTGAGTCATGCCTTTGATGAAATGACACCTAACTCCTCCCCCTCGCCTATTTCGGAGATTTACATGATGCATTTTGAATCAGCAGCTGCTTGTATAAACTTCCTCGTGTGTTTTAAAGGGCTCCATCCTTTGCTCAAGTGCCCCATTGCCTCAGTACGCCGAGTAAAGCATGAACTGAGATTTAAGTGGGATCCACTTTTACAGCTTCTTGATGCAAGAGGTGGGAAGATTCTGATTGAGCTACTGATTGAGGTGTGTTGCCATGCCAGCTGAAGTTTAAATCGATGTGGCTCCCTGGCTCCCGGCGCATGTAGGCCAACTAACCACTTAGGGCCAACCTTGCTGCCTTACAGAAGGAGGCCATTCAGCCCATTGTGTCCACCATGGCTCCCATAAAGAGCAGTTCACTTCATGCCATCCCCCAGCCTTTTCCCCCATTGCCCTGCACGATCTTCCTTTCCAGATAACCCTCCTTGTTCCTTTGGGATGTTTTTATTAGCATCATAGAATGCCTAACCACCGAGCCACCAGCTGAACACCCCACCCCTCCCTCCCTCCATGCGTGCAGGTACCATTCTGAAGGCACTTTAACCTGAATGTATAGGGTGTTGTTTGAGAAGAAGAGTAGATGGAGTAAGATGAGGTCTTGTGAATGATCTCTACCAGGTTTAATTGAACATGACCAGGTAGATGGGAAGTTGAGAGAGGACATCTTCTGGAACCCCGTAGACTCAGGGTCCTGTTCCTTGTGATGATTTGCCACAATATCATAGTTCCTTAGACACATGCTCAGTAGTTGTTTTTAGATGAAAGCTATAGCTAACCCTTCACTCCACAGTGTGGTCAAGAACAGCAAGGTGATTAGTCTCAATCCAGCTGAATATTTGCTTCTCAGGACCTGCTGAGCAGCCGCTTAAATATTATTGACTATCCTGAGGACTGGAACTGCACAGACCACGAGCAAGAGACGTTTCCAAAGTTCAGCAGACGCCATTGCATAAAGGTATGCTTTTCCAATGTCAAGCACGTTGCTCAGTACCCAAGTGCAGTTCTTTCCTGATCCCGGTCCCGAGCTCGCCGTCCCCTTCCCAAGGGCACCTGGAGATAAACAACAAGTGCTGGCCTTTGCCAGCGATGCCTACGACCTGCGAACCGCTAAATATAAAAGACCGTCATTGAGGAAGTGGGTTTTGAATTCACAGCACTGGGGGAGGAAGGGGAAGCAATTATAGAATGGATAATGGGCAAGTTCATAGAATCCCTACAGCATGGAAGCAGGCCATTCAGCCCATCAAGTCTGCACTGGCCCTCTGAAAAGCATCCCACCCAGACTGAGCCCCTTACCCTACGCCTGTAACCCTGCATTTCCCATGGCCAATCCACCCTAACCTGCACATCTTTGGACTGTGAGAGGAAACCAGAACAAGCCCACGCAGAGAATGTGCAAACTCTATATAGACAGTCACCTGAGGGTGGAATTGAACTCCGGTCCCTGGTGTTGTGAGGCAGCAGTACTAATCACTGAGCCACTGTGTTGCCCAAGTTATATTTGCAATGGGGCAGGATGCAGGTGATCAAATTGAAGATGCATTGCCTAAAGGTCAAAGAGGAAATACTTTGAACAGAGTGCAACACTGGAGATATGGAAGTGAATGATGAACAGGTTATGAGGCCCAATGCAAAGGGGTCTTGAACCCTTGTGCTCATGTGGTAATCATCAGAGATTAGACAGAGTCCAGACATATAGTTTTCTAATCAGAGTTTATTGCAACTCTCACACCACCAATGCCAACCTCATTGATTACTTGTTCACTGTATGTGTCTACATTTTAGATATACATATATGTCGCCAGTTAAATTCTCACCCAATTTTCCCATAATTAAGAAATAATAATTGTGTGGTCCTCAATTCCAAATAATCTCCGATGCCTCTGCCAGACCCTGTTAAATTATAGCACTGTGGGAGTGGGTTCTTGTGGTGCAGTGGTAGTGCCCTTACCTCTGATTCAGGAGACCTGGGTTCAAATCCCACCTGTTCTAGAGGTGTGTAATAATATCTCTGAACAGGTTAATTAGTAAAATAAGTATAAGATTGTGTGCTGTGTGACCCAGCCCTGGGTCAGCAGCTCTAAAGGGGACAGAATGAAGGACAAGGCTATGGAATCTTAGACAGCAGTAAGCCTTTCAGATTGTGAAACACAAAGTAACTCCCTCATGTGCCTCTGTCATACAGCACAGAATCAGACCCTTTGGCCCAACTCATTCCTGCCAACCGAGTTTCCTAAACTGAACTAGTCCCATTTGCCTGCGTTTGGCTCATATCCCTCTAAGCCTTAATTAAAAACCGAAAGAACTGTCGATGCTGGAAATGAGAAGCAAAAACAGAAATTGTTGGAAAAGCTCAGCAGGCTCTGGCAGCATCTGTGGAGGAAAAAAAATCAGAGTTAATGTTTCGGGTCCAGTGACCCTTCCTCTAAACCTTTCCTATCCATGTACCTGCCCAAATGGCTTTTAAATGTTGTAACTGTGTCTGCATCTGCTACTTCCTCTGGCAGTTTGTTACATTCACTGCGTGATAAAGTTGTCCCTCAGGTCCCTTTTAAATCTTTGCCCCTCCTCCACCTCTGTCAAAAGTATGATTGTCTGCTGATGAGCTTTAAAATGCTTTCATGTGACATGGGTAACACTGGCAAGAGCAGGATTTGATGCCCATTGTTAATTGCCCTCGAGAAGATGTCTCGCCACTACCCCCTGAAGGGATGGGCAATATACAGGCCCCTTTCCAAGAACAAAAGGGTTGGGGTGTGTCTGTAACTGCTGGGAAAACAGACTATGCAGATTCACCGTCTAAATCCTCCTTTTTTCTAATTCCAGAGATTGGATTCATCAATGACGCAGAGCAGGGAGCTTCCAGGTACAGTTGGTGATCTCTGTGACTGACAGTCAGTAGCAAACATTGGCGAGATGTAAATAGACAAGTTAAACGAGGAGACATTCACTGAAAAGAAATCCATCTCTAACTCCATTGACCAAATCCAATCAGTCCTGAAGAGCTGGGGATTCCAGATAAAATATTGAACCTAGACCTCACCCGCCCCCACAGAGGGATGTACTAATGTTAGTTTGAAGAAAAACATTTCTGCCCAGTGACCTGACCAAAACCTATCCCTAAACCAACATTGCAAAAACTGATAATCTTTGTCTTGACAATGTTGCTGTTCTGCGAGCTTGCTGTGTGCAAATTGGCCACTGCATTTCCAACACTATAAGACTGCAGCCGTAAAGGGCTGAGGTTGGTGAAGGGTGCTAGGTAAATGCAAGGGGAGAATCCATCTGGATTTGGAGGAGGCAGGCCTAGAGATGGGAGGACCACTTTATTCATTCACAGGATTGTGGGGATTGCTGACCAGGCAGCATTTATTGCCCATCCCTAATTGCCCAGAGGGCAGTTAAGAGTCAATCACATTGCTGTGGGTGTGGAGTCACGTGTAGGCCAGACCAGGTAAGGATGGCAGATTTCCTTCTCTTGAAGGCATTTGTGAACCAGGTTCCGAAGAACAATGACAACAGTTTCCAGTCGTCCTTCCAGATTGTTTTAGTTCAAATTGCTGTGACAGGATTCCAACCTGGGTCCCTGGGACATTAGCCAGATTTCTGGATTAGTCTGGCGTAAACGTTGCCTCCTTAAGGTGACCTCAAAATCTCTCCAACACCACCTGACTTCAGATCAGAAGGGCCCAATGTTGCAGCCTGCTGTGAGTTGGTGCCCTTTGAGTGGTCAATGAATGATCACTTCATGACAATTTTAAAGCATTATTCTTACTTGGGCTATAATGATCTAAGTGTTGGCCCATCCAACTTGTCAAGCAGTGTGGGTCACCTGTCATCTGGCAGGAGGGGAGGGGAGAGAGTCCTCAGGCAGTGCAATTGACGGCAAGGACAGTGGACAAGGGAGCGGTCACTGAGAACCCATTTCCATCTTTCTCCATGACCCTGAACCCCAGAACTCTCTCCCCCACCCATTCTCCGGCCTCAAACCACTCATCTGCAACCTCTGGTCCTGGAGATGTTGTGTGCCCCCTGGCAGCCCTGGTCTTCCTGGTGGCACTGCCGAGAGAGAGAGCTGCCAGCCCACAATTGGCTTCCACTACCCAAGGGAGCTCAGTTTTAGAGCCAGGACCCAAACCCTTACAGCTGTCCTCCATGCTGCCTGATTGGAGTTATGCCGTGTCTTGTCCTGAAGAGTCAGCCTGGTTGCCTCGCCAGTTCCTTTCTAGCGAGGGATGAGACACCCGATGAAAACCGAGGAATGCGTCCCATCTTCCTATTCCTCGACCAATGGGTGTGTTTCCAAACATACAGAATGCTGCTTGCTACACAAGGGCAGGTTGGATTTGGACAGGAATGGCTGTGGGGAAGTTGCAAAAAGGCTGTAGGAAGGATGCAGCTAAGAAACGGTTCAGATAGTGGAATCTTGAGAGAGGTTGGAAAACCTACTCAGCTTGTACTAGAGGAAGAATCTCCAGGGACATAAAATAAACCTCAGCTCTGAGACTAAGACTTCTCAGGTAGAGAAATGAAGTGAAGTGAAGTAAATCCTCAGTCGCTAAAAAATCACTTTGGACTGTTTCCGGGAGAATTCAGCATCTATTTATCAAATACTGTAAAGTATATCTGTGAGGCGTACGTTTGGTTATGCTGAAAGTAAAAGGGGAACATGCTGTCCCGTGGTTTAAGGTATGAGTTGCTTGCAAGGCTTGTTATAAGTCAAAAATGCTTTTAGTCTTTTGCTACAGTAAAAGTCTTAAAACATGGCATCTTGTGGTGTTGACCTTTTAGAACATAGAACATAGAACAATACAGCACAGTACAGGCCCTTTGGCCCACGATGTTGTGCCGACCTATTATCCTACTCTAAGGTCAATCTACCCTGCACACCCTATATTTTACTATCTCCATGTGCCTATCCAACAGTTGCTTAAAAGTCTCTAAAGTATCTGACTCCACTACCACTGCTGGCAGCGCCTTCCACACGCCCACCACTCTCTGTGTGCAGAACCTACCTCTGACGTCTCCCCTGTACCTTCCTCCAATCACTTTAAATTATGACCCCTCGTAATAGTCATTTCCGTCCTGGGAAAAAGTCTCTGACTATCCGCTCTATCTAAAAGTCTCTGACTATCCACTCTCTCTAAAAGTCTCTGACTATCCATTGATTCTAAATTTTAGCTGCTAGCCAGATTTTTCAATACCATCACAAGATTAGTTGCTGGACCCAGTGTAAATCTATTCTAGAACCTTATACTAATGATTTAAGTAGACTAAACCTATCAAATGACCAACTCTGACTAGTCGTTTTTCTTAATGTTTCTTGAGATAGGTTCACACTTCAATTGCCTCTGCTTCTCATTCACCCACCCACGTTAAACAGCTGTTTTTCCCCATATCCACAATATTGGTACAAACAATAAACAAAAATGTTGAGGATTTTTAAATAAAGATAGCAATTTTTTAATTTAAGCTAATTTAAGCTCTTTTAAAACAGAGTCGTAAAGTCATAGAACCGTACAGACGCACACACACACACAACACAAACACACACACACACAACACACACACACACATGCGCGCACACAACACAAACACACACACACACAACACAAAACACACAACACAAACACACACACACACACCACACACACAAACACAAACACACACACAACACACACACGCAAAACACACACAACACAAACACACACACAACACACACACACAACACAAACACACACACAACACAAACTCACACACACACAACACAAACTCACACACAACACACACACACACATAACACACACACACACGCACACAACACACACACACAACACAAACACACACACACACAATACAAACACACACACACAACACAAACACACACACAACACACACACGCGCGCACACAACACAAACACACACACACACAAAACACACAACACAAACACACACAGACACACACATGCAGAGACACAGATAGACAGACACAGAGACACACACAACACACACACGCACAACACAAACACACACACAACACACACACAACACACCACAAACACACAACACACACACACAAAACACACAACACAAACACACACACACACACACACACACACACACACATAACACACACAACACAACACACGCAGACACACACACACAGACACAGACACACACACAGAAACACACACAGAAACACGCACAACACACACACAACACGCACACACACACAACACGCATACATACACACA